AAAAAGAGACAAACCATCATAAATCCAAGTTTTGGCGATTGTTTCTGCACAAAGTCCGTTCACAACGAGAATGTTGAGAAATATAGTAAATAATGCCATATTCGGGCACAACTCGGCCGTGCGAGCATTTGGCGAGTTATTTATTAAATATTAGTTAAATTTATTTCAGTTTTCCGCAACACTGTAAATCCCCTCCCAAGCGCCCTCTATACAATTTTGACCAAAGCAAGTTTTTGCGGCTCGTTAAGTTTTGTGTGTGCGTGTGTGTGTGTGTGTCAGCCGCTTCTAAAAATAGCTGTCTTAGAGTTTCAACCTTTTAAAAAAAAAATACAAGTCACAAGATGCAATAAAAATTAACAGCTAAGACTTTAATTTAACTACTCAATAAACTTGTTTGCCAGCTAAAATTAAATTGTTTAAATGCTTTCAATCAAAACTCCATCAAACGTGCAATCAGCTCCCATCATTAACATAATAGATGCTTAACAGTCGCATGTTAAACACATAATTGCACTATGTTAAGCGTGCAGCTGTTAAGTTGCGGGTGCTTTCCATACTTTCCACGCTTCCAGTTTTTGCTCAATTCCCTGCGCACACGCGCACTCGCTCGCACTCCAACGCAAACGTTTTACGCCTGCCGCAACTTCAGCTAGTTTGTTATGCTTTTAACGGCGAGCAGCGCCCTTGTGTAAAAAGCAAACGCTCACAAATCACACTTGGCTCAATCAATGGAAAACGCCAAAGACACTTGCTCCACTTTCAAAGGGGTTTACAGTGCCAGACAGCGCGACTCCAAGCGCGCGCACACACACACATACACACATGGGCAGCAGCTCGTACGCACACACATGCGCACACAGTGTACGCTGCCATTGAGAGCAGCAGCAGGCGCGTGCGCCGTTGACAACAGCAATAACAGCAGCCCTTCCCCCCCCACCCCTGGGTTGGTGCTTACAGTTAGTTAGGCAGACATGCGCTCAACCGCGTGCGCGTGTGCGTCGCATGCGCAGCTTCCAGTCAATTGTTATTTTGTTTTTGTATTTGCCTTAACACATAAATAAAGCTGCTCTCGCTCTCATTTACATATGCATGTGTGCGAGTGTGTTTGTGTGTCACATGCGCAGCTTACACACAATTGCTTGTTATTTTTCGGGTTTTTTGTTTTGTTGTTGTTCTTTTGCTCTTGCTGCCATTGTGCTTTCGTGTTTACACGTGTCGCAATTAAAAACAGCGCTTTGCTCTTTGCATTCGCACTCTCTCGCTCTCGCTCGCGCTCTCGCTCTCTTATTGCATCCCAGATTATCGACGTTTTGTTGTTCTTCTTTGGGCGTCGCAGCTTGCGCTCTGTCATAATTTGCAGCAGCACGAAGAATCGCGCTCACAAATTAGGTTCATTAGGGTGCGGCAGGTGGTACAGTGCGCGACAAAAGTAAATGGCTGCATTAGCATAATAGGTGTGCAAATACCCTGTATTCTGGTGTGTGATATATGCATGAGTTGCCTTATATTATAAACTATTTATTTATCTCAGCTCTAGCTCTTATATTTCCCTGTTGTTTTGGACATCTGCCTTATTTGAGTTTTATTTCTATATAGTTTCGCAGATCCGCTTTGGTCAGGCGACTTATTGCCGCGACTGTATGTTGTGTCATGTCATGGAATATGGTCAAAACAAGTTTGGCCATTAGAAGCAACAGATTCGACTAGCCAGATCCATAGTTAGATAGATAGATACATACATAGTTGGATCGATTGGAAACACTTTATCTTCCAGCTCATGAGTAATACATCATGGTTGTCTGTGTGTGCGTGTGCGTGTGCGTTAACTATCATGAGGCACTTTAATGGACACACTAGCCAAAACGCGTATCAATGGGATATTTCCGGCTGCTGCTTAGGCGCAGCAATTAAAAAATTGACAGCTGCTCTGCCAATTAATCGAACATCAAAATCCCAAGTAGAAGAAGTAGAATAAAAAAAGAGGCAATCGCAAATCCAGATAAATTGTTATAAATGTCTTTACGCATTAAGTTCATAAATTAAAGCGCAGCCACAAAACAAAATGTCAGCCATAAATTTTCGATTCGAATAGTTGAAAGTCGTGTGTGTTTCGGAGAGGTTTTTTTTCTTCTCTTTTTATTATTTTATTCTATTTTTTTTTCTTTTTGTTTTAGCATCAGGAAATTGCCAACATCTACGACTCGTGACGATAACGAAAACGAAAACGAATTCGACAACGGGCCGCTTGTTCTAATGAGCATACTGCTCTTTTTGCAGGGTATCCGCGGTGTACTATGCACATGTGCATCAGGTATGCCACAGTTTGCAACATGTTTTCCGATATGCATATGCTTGGTGTGCATACTTTTCGAAGTGCATGTGGTACATTTTTTTTACAATTTCCCAATTCCCAACATTGAGTATTTCCCTTGTGGATGAGACGTGCTTAATAATAATTCCCGTTTCTATATAATCCCTTAAACAAATTTCCCTTGCTTTAAGTGAAAGGAATTTTGTCTCCAGTGTTTTTCTTAATTGATGTTTCATTACTTTTAACATTTTACTTGGCGTAATACACAAACAAAATAAAAATATGCGACAAGAAATTTCCCATAAACATAAAAACCTTTGAAAAATAGGGTACCAGAAAAAGAGTACATTTTTGTGCTCTCAAAAGTTAAAAGAGAAAAAGTTCTGTTAACGCCAAATTTGGTAAATTGCATATTAACATTTTACATATGTTAATTAGCATAACAGACGAGCACTTCCAAGCGCTCTCTCTTCGCTGCAGAGCCAAAGGATCAATGCTTAACTAAAATGAATAACATTTCGTCAACTTTTCAGGGCATACAAACTTCGTTAAGTGCGTTTGCCAATGGCGCAACGCCTGAAGATTAATTAAGTAAATGTTATTTATGTGTTTTGCGTGCCGCAATTATGTGCATTTGTTAGCCTAATTGAATTGATTGTGCAAAAGGTGAAAGGCTACTGCGCAGTCGCAGCTGCTGCCGCTTCTTATGCTGGCAATGCGGAAGAGCTCTTATGCTCTCGGCAATTGCATGCGCGCTCTTAAGAGCACGTTCAGCAATTGCATGCGCGCTCTTCAGAGCACGTCGCTTACACATTCAAGCTTCTTTCCGTGGTCTGCAGGCTGCGGCTCTTCGTGCAGCTTCTTACGCGCGCAATGCGGAGCAGCTCTTATGCTCTCAGCAATTGCATGCGCGCTCTTAAGAGCACGTTCACTTACACATTCAAGCTTCTTTCCGAGACCCGCAGGCTGCGGCTCTTCGTGCAGCTTCTTACACGCGCAATGCGGAGCAGCTCTTATGCTCTCAGCAATTGCATGCGCGCTCTTCAGAGCACGTCGCTTACACATTCAAGCTTCTTTCCGCGGCCTGCAGGCTGCGGCTCTTCGTGCAGCTTCTTACGCGCGCAATGCGGAGCAGCTCTTACGCTCTCAGCAATTGCATGTGCGCTCTTCAGAGCACGTTCGCTTACACTTTTAAGCGCGCCTGGAAGTGTGCCAAAGTTTTGCGTGTTTCTGCTTGCGCTTAAGAGCGCGCTATGAAAAAAATGAAAGCTCTCGTTTTTGAACGTTTTGTTAATTTGGTTGTTGTTTACTTTTCATTTGTTTTTCAATTTGTTTTTTATTTAGGATTTATACAATAACTTAACATTTGTTTGCTTTTGGAATCGGAAATATACAATATTAAATATTGATTTCATGTTTTGCATTTATATTTATTTAATTTCTTCTCTTTTTGCTGTTGATTTTGCATTAGTTTTTGATTTGTTGTTGTTGTTGTTGTTTTTCATTTTATTTGAATTTGAATTAGCACATATTTCGGGGCTCGCTATTACATATAGTTTCTTTTAATTTATATTTTATTTTTATTACGCTCTTGTGTGTGTGTGTGTGTGTGTGTGTGTGTTTAATGTTATTATTACATTTACCAAATGCAGCACATTAATGCTTACGCTGTGTGTGTGTATGTGTGTGTGTGTGTGTGTGTGTGTGTGTGTGTGTGTGTGTGTGTGTGTGTGTGTGTGTGTGTGTGTGTGTGTGTGTGGCGGTCCATTTCGGTGTTCTCTTTAACTATTTGGTTTAGCTCTTTCTATTTGCTGCAGCTGGACTAAAAGCCCGCGACATACGCACAAATATCACTAGGCTGCTGTCTGTGTGTGTGTGTGTGTGTGTGTGTGTGCATGTATGTGTGTTTGGGTGGGTGGTTGGTTGTGATATACACACACACATATGCGATTGGGTTCAGTTTGCGGTAAACGAAGAACAAATAAAAATATATATGCATAGCGAAGCTCTCACACACACACAAGCTTACATATATGCACACATGTGTGTGTGTGCGTGTGTTAAATTCTCAGCTTAACTATTTTTTCACGCAAATCTCATGCTACACATGAAAAGTAGCTTACATTTTCAGCAGACTTCACATGAGCTTTACGTTTGCATGTCAAAACATGCAAGAAAAGAAAGCTTTAGGCAAACCCATGCAAAAAAAAAAGTAAGCAGTTGAAAGCATGCTGAATTCTGTGCGTAATTCATGCGTGAGAGTCCAACTGGGCTCTTGAAAATTTGCAAGCTTTTTATTTACGCGTGCGTGCATGTGTGTGTGTATATGTGTATATATGCGTGTATTTTGTATATTTGTTTTTCTTTTGTTTTGTTTTGTTTTGTTGTATAATTTGTTTAAGGTATTAACATTTAGTTTAATTTCATTACTTTCATCGTCATATAAATAAAAAATAAATACATTTTGTTTTTTTTTTCTTTTCTTTTCTTTTCTTTTTTTTCTGTTCTTTTCTCATTTATGCATGCAGGCAAAACTGTTTCTGTTCATTTTCTTTATCGACTTTTTAAATACCCTTTAAAAAGCTGCACTAATTTTACGAATACGAAAAAAATATATATATATATATTATATGTATGTATGTATATAAAGTCGAGTCACATTACACAAAAAAAAAAAAAAGGAAATAAGGAAAATATATATATATATATATTATATATTATATAAACAGCATCATAATAAACAACGGCTGTTCTGTTCATTTTTGTAGCATCAGCTTTTCATAAATATACATATATATATATCCAGACTAACAAATATATAAATATATATATATACATATATATGTTGTATACGCGTATGCATATCCATTATACATATATATATATATGTCATAGTTTTAAAGTTAAGCTGCAACTGCACGTGGGTTAGACAGCGACAGCTATAGCGCGCTGCATTGAGTTAATGAGTGAGACAGCGATAGCAACAGCGAATTTGCTCAACAACAGCAGCTGCTGTTAGCTGTTAACAGTCGCTGTTAGGCGCGCACTGTTAGCTGTCGCTGTTGGTCGTAACTGTAACTGTTACTGTTTACATATTCTGTTCTTGGTTCTGTTCTGTTCCGTTCCGTTCTGTTCTGTTTAGAGAGCTTGCGTCTCATTTTGTTTTCGTGTGTGTTTCGTTTTGTATTGCATTTTCTTCTGTTCTCTTTTGCTGTTTGTTTTGTATTGTAAAAGCAAGCGTTTGAATGCAGCAGCATTTAAATATCAACAGCTTCGGTTTTGCTTTCCCCCCTTCAAAAAATTAGCATTTAACATTAACATTAAATATGATACGCCCCATCGCTAACCCTAGCCCCGACGACGCCCATGCATTGTGCTGGGCTTCTCGCTCTTTCTGCTCGGCGTTTCGTCCGTCTCGTCTGTGTTTTGCCTCTAGTTGTTTGTGTGTGTGTGGGTGTCGTGTGTCGGTGTGTGTGTGTTTCTCTCGCTGTTGTTGTTGTTGTTGTTGCTTCTCGCTCTCGTTGATTATTGCACCACACAGCAGCCCTTTTTCTTGTTCTTCTTCTCGTCGATAACCACGTGACTAGCCGAAGTTGGTCCAGGCACCACTTGCTTTGAGACCTGAGCCAGAGAAGTGACGCCATTATTGCTCTCCGCTTTGCCAGCTGCTGTTACCGCAGCTGCACCACCGCCGCCACCTCCGGCTCCTGTCGAGCTGGCCACCTTGCTGCCGTGGGAATTTGTACCATTTTGTGCTGTCGCTTGATTCTGCGAGAGCTGCAAGAGAAATAGAAAGAGAGCCAGATTAGAATTCACATTTTGCAGCGACTTTAACGAGTACATTTCAGCGAGTGCATTTTGGCAAGCTAATTGTAACGAGTAGCACTATTGTAGAGAATATTTCACTTTGTAACGAGTACAAATTGTGACCAGTGTGTTCAACGAGTAGATATAAACTGAATTTGGGCGAGTAACGAGTAACGAGTACGAATCGTAAGGAATATATGACTTTGTAAAAAGTACAAATTGTGGCGAGTTTGCTTGAGCGAGTAGATTTCATAGACCGTATTTGGACGATTAAATTTCAGCGATTGTTCGTTCGGCAAGAGCTTTGTAACGACTGCAAATTGTAACGAGCATGTAGCTCAAGCGAGCGATTTTCAGCAAGAAGACTTTAACGAGTGCACTTGAACACCTGCGAGCTGCAACGAGTAAACTTCAACGAATAATTTCCACCAAGCATGCTTCAACGAGTGCATGTAAGCTTTGGACTATTTTATAGACACTCGCAGTAATAAATGTATTTAGCAAAAGTAACTTGATGCCCTTGCCTTTGACGATCAAAGCCCAGCGAGTAAATTACTTTGACGAGTGCATTTCAATAAACTGCACAACTGTACAGCAATGCATCTATGAGACTCTGGGTAAGGTAAGGTACCATAGAGCCGAGAGATTCGTTATGGCCTTATGGAAGACCTTTACTGGATGCTATGAGGATATATATCATTTTGAAGAATCTTTCAATATCTGCGACCTGTATGTTTGTTTTACAAATTGAATATATATCATTTTGTATATGAATAAAAGAATGGTTTGATAAGAATCTGAATAGAGATTAGAGTCGGAATTCTCTCGGAACTGTCTGCCACGGCATAGACTGAAATTTTATTTGACAAGGGTTCACCAAATTGGCCTATAACATAGTATTGCCATGGGTAAAATCGATCAAAATTTAAGTACTTGTATAATGAACTTTGTGCCTTGAAAGAAACTTGACCTTAAAGAACTGAACCATGATTCCCAATCAACAAGGCACAGCTGTTTTAAATAGAATATAGAAGAAATCAGCTTGAAAATTAGTTTTTACATTTGTCGGAGATATCTTAAGCCCTAGCTTCTATTCCAACGAGCTTCATACCCTTGCTAACATGTTGTACATGTTGAACAGCACGAACTACGGTGAAAACTCGACTAACGGACACATGACCTCAAACATTGCCGCGCAGAGTGTTTACTATACTATATTGCTGCTGCAGCAAAGCACTATTGAGGCCTGTTAGGGTATTCCGTGTGCGGTGTGGCGCTTACATTTGTTTTGGTAACTGTCTCGCCTATTGCAGTGCTTGCGCCATTACAGTTATCATCGCCATGCTGTGCGTTGCCATTGCCTATTGTACGATCCTCTGTGGGCGTGATGGGCTTGCCACCTATTCAAAAACAACAAGAGAGAGAGAGAGAGAGAGAGAGAGTGAGAGAGAGAACACAGAGTAGAGCAGGCTGCGACTTACCACGTATCATGCTAACAATTTCATCAGCCTCTCTGGACAGATCGCCGCCGGGACGAAACGGATTATCCCAGCCGGAGTCAGTGCTGTAAAACGTTGCATTCAAGTGAGGTTGAAATTGATATTGTTTTAATTGTCATCGTGGCGCTCACCTCTGCTGTCTGTCATAGGCTGGTCCCAGGCCGCCGGCTGGCTGCATCGTTGCCGTCGCCATTTGCGTATAGTCTAAGTTACAATTGTAGCTACTAAACGTATTATCTAAATTATCAGAAAAACTCGTTAATGTATATTCGGCTGGTGGACAAATCTGTTGCGGTTGACTGCTTTGGTAAATGGAAACGCGCACTATCGAACGCTCCGATCTGCAACAGAATAATGGCAAATTATTTAGCTCAGAATGCAAATTGAAATAGTTTTTCGCAATCGCGACACTCTCGCAGGCCACACAATTAAATTCAATGTCAATTAAATTAAGTCATTTGCCAGCTTGTTGAACTTATCAATTAAATATATATATTATTTGGTTTTTTTTTTCATCTAGCTTCAATTGAATTTCGTTCAGTTATGGAAATTGACATGGCAAGACCGGGCCGCACAAATCTCGACCAGCTGCTCCTGACATTTCGCACACAACGAGTCGCTTTGGATCTCAGCGCGTGCCACACACAATGTCGCATTCGCTCGAGAGAGCGAGAGAGAGAGGAAGTTTTTTTGCCGTTGCCCAACTCTGGAGTCTGGACTGGTCGAGACTTTGCCATTCCGGCAAGTGTGGCTTGTGTCCCTTGAGGATTTCTATGTCTCGCAATTTGATTAAATTTCGCTGCGACTCGAACAAAAAACTACAACAGGGTTAACCAACACTAATTAAGGCCCAAACCAGTTGCGAATTACAAGCACGAAATGTGTTCAACTTGTTGAAAGCAGCGCTGCTTAAATGGCATACAAGTGGGAACATTGAAAACATACCAAATTTGAAGAACAAATAATTGGAAAAGAATCTCATTAAGTGTGCGCTTAAACCAGTTGAGAATTATAAGCAAAATAGCGCTCGTTGCGTGTTAACGTTTGCACAAATGCCAGTTTGTGCTTGAACCTGTTGCGAATTTTAGGCGCATATTATGTGCCAATTGTTTGCCGCTTTAATTGCAGATGATATGAGGTATAAGGTACAAGATAAAGGGTATATGGTATAAGCTAAGGGCTATAAGATACAAGGTTTAATGTATAAGGTATAAGTAAGAAAGTAATGTAAAGGGTATAAGGTACAAAGTAAATGGTATAAGGTACAAGATACAAGGTAAAGGGTATAAAGCGAAAAATAAAAGATATAAGGTACAATGTATAAGGTACAAGGTACAAGGGATAAACTACAAGGTAAAGTGTATAAGGTACAAAGTAAATGGTATAAAATACAAGGTACAAGGTAAAGGGTGTAAGGTGAAAATCACAAGATATAAGGTACACGAAATAAGGTCAAGGTAACAAGGAAGAGATTAAAAGATAAAGGGATAAGGTACAGGGTGAAGGTATAATGTAAGGGGTATAAGCTACGAGTTACAAGGTACCTCTAAGGTTTGCCACGAGCTCTTTAAAAGCAACTTACTCGACAGGAACGAACCGCTTGACCCTCTTTATATTATTGACTTTTGAGCAGCTTTTCCTTTCGAAGTAACTCAGCGAAGCTTGAATTCGCGACAGCTTGGCTCTTGTACACGTTTGTTTCAGATATAACACAATTAAAATATATATTGCACACAATTTTGTTTACAAGCTGAACGAGCACACGTCTCTGAATATTCTGACGTTACAATCGACATAAGGAAATAACTGATCGCATTTTCAATGTTTATTTACACATGAAATGAAATGAAATTCACGTCAAGTATTTGACTTTTTGTAAACCTCTTCTCAAATAACCAAAAATTCAAAGACGATAAGCCTTGCGTCGTGGTAATTTACACACTTTTCAATGTCATATTTAAGCACTGCAAATTTGATTAAGATCGGAATATAAACAGCAAAGGTACTTGGGAACATATTATCCCACAGTGTGGGACTAAGGCAAGAAGAAGCAACAGATCGGGCAAGTTTGAATATTTTCTTTTACGTATGTGTGTGTGTGTGGAAGAAAGCGAAAATTTAGTAAGTGGGTGGAGGGTATCTTCTAGAAGATATCTTCTAGTCTATTTTCCAGTCTATCATCTACTAGATATATCCTACTCGATATCTTTCAGCCTATCTTTTAGTAGATATCTTCTATTTTGTATCCTCCAGCCTATCTTCTAATAGATATCTCCTAGTCAGAATCTTCTAGTCTCCTCTCCAGTCCATCTTCTAGTCAATCTTCCAGTCTTCTAGTCTATCTTCAGTCCATCTTCTAGTCTATCTTC